CCCCGAGCAAATGCAAAGACAGCTCATATGAGCTAATTGTTCGTCGCTTCACATCGGCATGTTGTCAACTGAATCCCATGCTTTCGACGTTGCTGTCGCACGTGACATGTAAACTTTGTGGAGCTCTCTGCCAGTCCCTCCCTATCGATGCCCCGAGCAAATGCAAAGACAGCTCAAAGGAGCCAATTGTTCGTCGCTTCACATCGGCATGTTGTCAACTGAATCCCATGCTTTCGACATTGCTGTCACATGTGACATGTAATTTGTGGAGCTCTCTACCAGTCCCTCCCCATCGATGCCCCGAGCAAACGCAATCGAAGTTGGTGTCGCATGTGACATGTAAACTTTGTGGAGCTCTCTGCCAGTCCCTCCCCATCGATGCCCCGAGCAAACGCAAAGAGCGCACACTGTAAGCCGCCGTCGACATCAAGTGGAATTTTCTCTGCCTGTGTGGCAGTGCCGCAAGCCTTTCCAAACATCTCCAAAGCACATCGAAGCCTCAACAGCCCCCTGCGTCTGAAGTCCTTTCCATGTTCTGCGGGACTCCTGACAAGGCCTTGGTGCATCCGTCGGTCGAAGCATTTGCCTCGCCGAAACGCAGCCAAAAGAGCGGAAGATGTTTGAGATTGAAACGCTCAGCTGGAACTGCTGGAACTGTAACTCCGACATTTTTAATCTTATCGGATTCCTTGTTCGAATCCTTGGCTAGCCTCCTACCAGCACAGAGTCACAAGGATCTCTAGCCATGAAGTCTTCAGCAGAAACTTGAAGCTCCAGAGCACCTGCTAGCTTAAGAAGCCAAGGTGCTAGCTTAAGACACCAACCTTTCATCATAGCCTTTATGTTGCGGGGTCCGCTGCCGTGGCGTCCATCCTTCGTTTTTATCAGAACTCCTTCTTAAAGCTGCTTGCAGAGCGAAAGCAACCACTGTAACTTTTTTTTGGCTCTTCAGGCATTTTTTCAAAAGCCTCCTCCTTTGTCGGCAGGATTTCTGGCCTCGCTGGCCGCTCCCGCCCCTTCTGGCGCTCCTGGCGCTCCTCCTCCAACCGCTCGCGCAAGCCGCAGCAAACGCCGCCCATGACCACACAAGAGCGTGCACTGGAACGGATTTGCTTGAGCATCCGCCTGCGGTGTGGCATCTGATGTCCTCCTCCACGCAAGGCTCACGTCTTGAAAGTCAAACTGAACATATAGAGTAGCTGAGGCTCAGGGTTTGCGTTCAAGCCGGGAGCGTCTCTTGTCGGATTCGGGGTTTCGCTGGAATCTCCGATGCTCTTGCAAGATCATCACGAGCTTGAAGCCGATTCAGAGAGTTCTGTGCCATTCAAGCGTGTGCACTGATTAGCAAGCAAGGAACCCCCAGGGCCCCCAAGTACACTTGACCAATTTCCCTCACCTTGAGCAGGAAGAACATGTTCCTAGCAGATCTGATCCTAGTCTTCTTCATGGACCCTACCTAAACCCTGAGTCCTAAACCATATTGGGATGGCCTTCATGGCAATTGGCTTTGGTCGGATGCGGCCCAGATGGCGCATGCTCACCGTGCTCATGCTCCTGGCTCGGCTTCGTTGGAAAGAGCTTTAGCCTTCTTTGGTTATGCAGTATACTATGTATACATATATAATGTTCTATGTACATACATGCATACGTACATAGACACGTACATACATGCTACAATGGTATACTGTAATATACCGATAAGTAACCCATAATGTACTGATGTGATTTCGGCGTTTTTTGGAAGGTCAGTCGACTTGGTCCTCGAGTCCCTGGCAGAGGACACCCAGACTGATTCGGTCTGTCCCTTCGGATGTTCTGTAAATGTGCTTGTACATGTAAATGTCAGTCTACAGGGATTGTACAAAACTATGTATGTATATCTGTATATACACATATTCGTTTATTTATTCATCTTTTACTTATATAAGGATATGGGCCCTTGCAGGAGACCCACCAGGACAGAATGCAGGCGCCCGTCTCACGAACCGGGCGACGCGGTGCGGTCTGCCAAGCTCGTCAGGTTCCTGGCATGTTGGACTGCGAAGGGGAAGGCTGGCCCCAGGACCACCATTTGACCATCTCACGAAAACAGATCTTGAGTCTGCTGGCTTTTTGAGCCACAAGACAAGAAGGAAGCCGATGTGGAACATCGTAGTCGTAGAACCAGGTGTTGACCCAAACAATCTCGGTTGTCAGGAGTGGCGCACTTTTCGGTTGGCTGCCACGCAGGCTGCGGCACTGATCAAGACCATGATTCCGAGAAAGACTCTCGGGAAGTGTTGGACAGGTAGGAAGCCAAAACTAGATTAAGTCTGGCCAGGCCGCAGAACGAGGCTTTGCACGATCTGCGGTTCTGGAGCAGATGGCCGCCGAGATTGAGGAGCTCCGGGCGGGTAAAGTTTGCGTAGCCCTGCTGGGAAGCATACTTTGTACCTGGAAGAACAAGTGGGGTCACTGGCTATGCCCCCGGCAGAAGTTCGGCCAACAGCTCAGTGATCGGCATCGATGTGGTTTCCCATCCTGTCGTTTCCCTCCACAGGGTCTGAGACCAAGGAGAGCAGTGCCAAAAGAGTTCGGACCTGAGCTTCGGCTTCATCCCCGAACTGCACAGAGAATGCCGCAGCCTCGGCGCCCGCGCCCGCCCGGCGTGCTTCGGGGTGTGCCAGGGCCGAGCCTGTGCGCAGCCCTGAGGCCGCGGCTCCAACAATTTCGAGCGCTTGCCTCAGATGAAATTGCTGCCGGGGCGCCTCCTCACAGCAGACGGGCTCAGGCGGTACCTGGTCAGGCACTACCTCAGAAACGATGCTTACAAGCCACTAGAGGTGCCCTGGACTCTGGATTGGCCTTGCGTCGCCTTGTCTTCCACTGGAAACCCTAAACCCTAAACCCTAGGCGCCGACCTTAGGCGAGGAGGAAAAGAACCCACAAAAAAAGGACAACACCTAGGCGCCCTCCGGCTTCTGCTTGTTCGGCTACGCCACGGCGCTGATGGTCCTGGCCTGGCACCGGCTCCCTGAGCAGGCTTGGGGTCGTACCTTAGCGTGGTTCCGACATTGACATGGCTCCCAGTTCGATAGAGACAGAGATCGATAGATCGATAGATCGATGGATAGATAGTTTGTTTGTTAGTTCTGTATCTATCTATCTACCTATCTATCTATCTATCTACCTATCTATATACTAGATCTTATAATATTCAAGATGTGGTATGTATGGTGACATTATTATCATGCATGCACATGTACCAATATGCATCTATACATACATATACAAAAATTTATATATATATATATGTATACATACATACCTACCTACCTGCCTACCTGCCTACCTGCCTACCTGCCTACCTGCCTGCCTGCCTACCTGCCTGCCTACCCACCCTACCTACCTACCTACCTACCTACCTGCCTGCCTGCCTGCCTGCCTGCCTCCCTACCTACCTA